TGCTATTTCAAAACGATCACTGACAGTTCGTTAGGTATTTGATTGTTACTAAGTTATCCATAGGAAAAATGGATATATCCATAGGAAATAAACTTTACCTCTTAAAAATTCATAATCATCGAAAAGAAAATGCTTAAAGGCCAACACAAGACATGCCATTTAAACTGTCCTCGCGACTTCTAAAGGGACTGTAACATCTAAGAACGCGCAGTAAATTTTGGCATTATTTTAAAACGATCTTTAACAATTCGTTAGGTATCGATTGTTTATAGCTTTTCCATTACAAAAATAAATTAAGCCTTTCTGTTATTTTTTTACTTTGTTGTGAACATTTTGCTTTGTATAAGGGACGTAGGCGACCGTATAGCAGATAGCGTGATCGGAGGCGAAACCATACTCAATTCCAACCTTGACCCGTAGTGATATAAATGTAATGAGCGCTATTTTTCGATGAAATGAGAGTCGCATCCCGGTAGAACCGAACGAGGCGAAGAAAGGAATAACCTTGAATAAAATTATATTATTGTGTTATGTTTGAGGAAGAAACCGTGTGCCCATTTTCAAGAGTTCAAGAGTTCGACTTTGACCACATGTAAGAATAGACCTATTTTCTCGGAACACTAACTGTCTGTTTACCAGCTACTCTGACTTCTTGGAAACGCAAATACCATCCATGGAGGGTATGGGAACAGCCTTTACTTAAATGAAATCTATTTTTTAATTTTATGGTTATATATAAAAGGAAAAGTGAACCACATATTTTATATGCTAGCTTGACCATGTTGACTCAACTCACAGCTCAAAGCGCAGATAATGTTAAATTTTCTGTCATTGACCGCGAGAGTTATTTCACGACGTTAGTCTGTACAGCAAGGTACTTTGAATTCGCTTAGCTCTGTGAATCCCTTCTCAATCTCGCACAGTACTTAGGGTGTGTTTTGTCGAGCGCTCATTGACGTTTTCCGCAGGAGATAACCCATTCCCACCTAACATCGATCATGTGCCTGCCACTGTGCTTCTAAAACGGCTGTCATGACTAGTTCGTACAAAGAGGCTGTGAAAAACCTGTTTACGGAAACAGTTTGAAACAAAGGGATGGATCTACTAATGTTAACGATGTATGGACATCGGACTTGGAATTCGTGGAACCGAAATATTTAACTGGCTGCTAAATAGAAGACATTACACGGCGCGTAGATATAAATTTTATTTTCGAGTGGTCAAGACATTTTTTTTAGGAACAAGCGCTGCGAGTGGGTAAAACACTCTTTTTATCACGAGAAAATAAATTGCATTTCTTCAAACCAACCTGTAGTTTCTTTTCGTTATAAAGACAACGTGGCTGTTCCACAAACAACCATGCGTGAAAAAGCGAAAAATGACTTCATCAGATACAGGATTCAATTCAATTATTTCAATTCTAGGAGTCAAGCTTGGATGCATTCATTTGAGGTGATCAGTGATCCAAGATCACGCGGATCATGGTACATCAAAGGAGTCGATGAATCCGTGACAAGAGTGGATTTATCGGCTCGTTTGATGCACCATGATCTGAGTGATCTTAGATCACTAATCCTTTTCGAGATCACCACAAAGGAAAGCACCCTAATTAGTCTCGTTCTCAGATGTCACCTGTTTATTCGTATACTGCACGAGTTTCTGAGAAAGGGCCTACCCTTAAGAGGTAGACAATTACGTCACACCTATTTCCGTATGCAAAGGCTGTAATAAACATGTTTACAAGCCTCAACTTTGAAACAAAGGCTGGATCTTTTCCCGGAAAAGCTGATTTTCTGGGAATTAGCTCCGGCCAGGGGAGAGGTGTTTAATGACCCGTGAGATTCTAGGAAAAGCATCAACTGTATCTACCTTTTTTTGTAATCGTTTAATCAAAGAACAACGCTACATACATTTAACGATTCTACGGCTAGACAGTTGTGCCACATTAGCCGAATTACACATTTCTACCTTTAAGGTGCTCGTATTTTGATTTTCACGATCTACTTTTAAGTTCTAGTTGTTCTTGTCTTCATGCTTGTCTAGTTTTTCTGGTTTTCACGCTTGTCAGCAGTGGACTGAGCACGCGAAGCGAAGCCTCCTTTCTCGACCCCGCCGCCATGTTGTTTTGCCTCCGCCGCCTGGATGCGAGAAGCCGCTTCTTTATCCATCAAATGCTTAGATCCCCCATCAGTCTTATGACCTCCTTCTTTGTCCATTCTTGCTGCAAATTCGCTACGAAAAAAGTGGTAAAATTTGTCAAGTCCCAGTTTTACGGAGAAAACAAGGAGCCAAACATCACTGATTGTAGCAACACAGATTGAGATTTCACCCAGATTGAAATGTAAAAGACTTCCTTTCGATAGATTACCAAGGTCTAAACTGCTTTTAATCGAAAAGTTATAATGATGCTACGATGATGCTGTCCTTAAGACTAGCTCCCTACAGAGGTTCATAGATCAATTGCTCATCCCGTCCACCAAAAGTTTTNAAACGCTTATTACCTTCAAGGAAATGAGCTGAAATTTGTAAGACGAATCCCCGTGAAATTTTGAAGTCTCTTCCAGGACCGTTTTACCTTTGTGGATGAGTGATCTTGTATTCAGATGCCTCTTTATTAAGATATTTCATCAACGTCTGATTGGCTGATCTCGAAATGTATGATTTTGTAATGACAATGACTCATCGTTTCTTGACAAAATATTGCTGAGCTAAGCATACCTTCAAAATCTCAAATAGCGCTGAGTTAGCACATTCCTAATAACAACGAGTGTCGCTTGATAACAAAGCTGACAACATCGATTCCTAAACTGAAAAAAAATAATAATAAATTAAAATAAATCAAAATATAATATATGCGCTTGCCTGTTTCTTTCTTGATGTGTCGTATTTTAATATCTGTCGTGTTCATGGCTTAAACTGTCTCCAGGAATACAGAGACATCAAAATAACGCAAGACAAACATAAGGTAAGCTACTTGTCTAGGCGCAGTATTTAGAAAAAAAAAACTCGACGCGTTCTCATTCGTTACAAGGTCTTACGGGGCTGAAAACGTCACGAAATCTGTCACGTAGATAACGTACACAACGTCTTAGCTGCCTGTGAAATAACTAAATCACATCTATGTTCGTATGGGAAGGCTGTGATAAACATGTTCACAAGAGTTAAGTTTAAAACAAAGAATTGGATTTTTTCCCGGAAATTTAAGCCATTAAGGCTGATTTTCTGAGAAAACCTCGCTCAGTACACACTAGTTGACCTGTGAAATTTTAGGAAAAGCACTAAATTGAATATGCTAGGATAATTCATGCTAAGCATATACTTTCTTCACAGTTGCTTCTCCAGGTAAGTTTAATTCTCTTTCGGAAGAGTTGTTATTTACCAAGTAAATGACGAGAGTTCTTTATATTTTAATTAATTAAATTAACAAGAAATGCTTACCTACAAGCAAACAAGCTGAAATTTTTAGAATGTGTTCACAGAGAAATTTTGGAATCTCCTTCCAACGTTTCACCTTTGTGACTGGGTTCTTGTCTTTTCTGGCGCATCCCTATATTGTTTCCGAGAAAATTACGTCAGCATCAATTACAGGTAGTGAGTTTCTTGGAATTACTTACTAACATAACAATTAGTCCTAAAACAGTACACGCTCTGAAGGCAATAAAGTTTCTTTTTGATGACAGTGCGCACTCGTGGTGACTCGTCGTTGCTTGACAGTATATTGCTGGGCTAGACACATATATGTTTTAGTGAAAATTTCATGCAAACAGCAGTTTCGAAACTGCTACACTTCGCTTTGTATTAAGATGTCTCTGTTTTGAATAGTCAATCACTTCTGAGAAAAATGCAGATATAAAGTTTCTCCGAAATACCCAGCATAAACTT